GGGAAACAGTGTACGTTCGGGTGCTTCCAAGGTGAAAAAAATGAAGTGGATGTAAAGCGAGAACTCGAATATAAGCATTATTTGAACTCCCTGGAATTTGCGCGAAGTAAACACTGCAGGCTCTCTGAGTCATCTCTTGAGAACGCGCCTTGGCTATGGATTTGGGCTATTGATTTGGAGAGCAGAATTGGTTGTTCGATCGGGCAAAAAACTCATTCATTAGCTTTTTGCTTTTTTAAGCCTATTTTCATCGTCTTACTCTTCAGGTGCTCAAGTCGTCGACGTTTTCCGCTGGTGCAAGCGACAAGCTGAAATGGTGTTTGCGGATAAATCCAAAAGGATTAGACGAGGAATCAAGAGACTATCTCTCGCTTTATCTCTTACTCGTACAATGTGCAAAGAGTGAAGTGCGTGCCAAATTCAAATTCTCTATACTGAACGCAAAACGAGAGGAAACCAAGGCCATGGGTGAGTTTTCTTCAATTTGCAAATTTCACTGAAATATTTCGAAGATGTAATTATCCTTGACAATACATGGATCGGTGATGTGGCGAGCTCGTAAAGAGAAATGGGCATGAAAAACCGAGACCGGACTCGTACAGTGGGGAAGAAGTGCTGTAGGAAACACTTTAAACATTCAGTGGCCAAACGCTGTGCTGCTATGCTCTCCCGCCTGGGATGGGGAAGAAAAACATGCTATTTATTTCAGTGGGATCTATGGTTCTTTTCTCGTTTCTTCATTCTTATGTTTTCTAAAAACGTCTTTTCTTGAGTGGTCCCTGCAGAAAACATAATCTTTTCACAGCTTTTGTTGTTGAGTGCAGTAGCGGGGGGGGGGGGCAACTGAGTTAATTTTCACAGTCCAGAATCAAGTTTTTAACGTGCAAGCCGCAACTGAGGTCATACTCAACTTGTTTTGGTAAGTGAGGTGGAGGGAGGGGGAGGGTTGATGGGGCTGTACTTGTCAGCATGAAAGGGCTCATTGAGCATTTTCGGAGAAATTTTAGTAAATTTCTAGGATTTCAGCAATTTTCATGAGATCTGTATGTGTCTATACATATGTCCAAGGGCGGAAGTGGTGTAGTGGCAAGTGGCACGCTTACCACGCGAGCGGTCCGGGGATCAAATCCTGGGTCGTGAGTCGCCCGGGCCAACCAAGCCTTCCATCCCTCCGGGGTCGGTTAATTGGTACCAGACTTGTCTGGGAGGATAAAAACACTGACTTGTACATCGGCTGGCCCCCGCAAGTCATTGTATAGGCCACATCGCATTCAAACGCACTACGAATGTACAAATGGAAGTAGAATGCGTGCCGCATCCCAAAAAGGGATTGATCAACGGCAAATGCTTTATCCTTTATTTATCCTATGTCCCTCCCCACTTGATGTGGGTTCTTCGGGGAATACGAAGAAGGTAATAATAATGTTAGGAATTTGATAAGGAAGGTTGGGAGAGGAAGTTGTTCAAATTTTGTTTTGAAAGCTCCTACGACCCATGGCCGATTCTGTAAAAAAAACTGTGGCCTGCAGAAAGGGGAAACAAGCGTGGAATGTAAATCCTCTTTTATCAAGACTGATAAGAAACCCTTTGTCGTGAATCTTTTTTTTTTTTCGCAGCGGGGGGGGGGTTGAGCCATGCGTTAGACTCCCATTCAGAATCGAATTGGCTTTGTGATCTGCTCATCGTTAGCGAACTCCTGGGGCACAACAATTGGAATGTCGGGGTTGCAGTAGGAACTTTCTCTCTGGAGTGGATTGGTGGTCTGTAAACGCTCGTTGATTTAAGAAAGCATCTATATTTTGAGATCCATTTTATGAAGAGTAACCCACTGCTCCACCTCTGACGGCGCTACGGCGAGAATTTTTTCCATGGAATTCCACTTTGGCAACATGTTGCTACGATAGTAAACCTCGTGGAAACGATTTCCACATGTCCTTCGATTCGATTACTTTCAAATGACAAGGCTGACAAGGTTTTATATAGATCGCCGATCTTTATCTATAATTGGAGCAAGGCCAATAGTTGTCCTTGTCGAGCGAAGGTCCCATGGCCATGGAGCTCTCCGCTTGCGGATCCATTCTAAGCGAGGGATAAACGTATCAGCGTTGAGCAGTTGTTTCGGTGTGGGCTTCCCGATGATACTCACCTAAATTGGGAGGTAATAGCTTCGAAGCATTGAAATATCCAATTCCACGCAAATCGGAGTTAGTTTTTTCCCATATAAATTAGTGTTAAGGTATAAAAGTATGCAGTGTTGATCGGTCCTTCTTCAGGGTGCACCCCGTGCTGTGATTCCATTCAGAATCGTAGCGGCGCTTTGAGCGCCATTCGATCTGTAAATGATTTACGGGTTAGCCAAGTGCTAATCAGCATTTTCATCCTCTTGGTCCGACGCCCGGTAACTTGTTAACCCATGACGCCCCGTCCTGGGCATCTTGATTCGTATTGGCTCCAATGCGTAATAAGCAGCTCCTCCTGCCATGAAACTACTTCGCTATCAAGCTAGTATAAAGATGTGAGCATTTTCACTGGAAAGTTTAGGATATTGCAGAATAGGTGCCCGCAATTTCGGTCGATATATAAGCACTCACATTTACGTAGTAGCCGTTAAAAAGTGTTCGCTGATAGCGATCTTGTAGTGCTTTATTTTTCCCACCTTGAGCAACGCCTCCCGTTAAATTTGATACTGCTATCGCTTATTCGGGTAGTTGTTTTTATATTCTCCAGAAAGTCCTAAATCAGAATATTCATAAGACTTTTTTTTGAGGTCACCACTGGATTTTTTCTGGCAAAAAGCACGAAGAAAACCGTTTCGCCAGCGAATCACTTTTGAACCGCTGCTTTATTTCCAGGCGAAAACCTTCAAGCAGCGGGCCCTTTAATGAGTAAAATGAAAGGTAATTTTATGAAAAGATTTTGCAGAATCTCAACGAGCATATCGATTCGTACAAGGCAAAGACTGGGGATTCAAGAAGTTTATTCGAAGGGATTTCCTGCTGGATGAGTCCAACGGCCTGTTGCCAGATGATCGGCTGAGTATATTTTGTGAAGTGAGTTTGTTTAAATCCATCCTGAGAGCTTAAGTTTACTCTTAGAATAATCGAATAGGCACTCAAGGGTGCACTTCCCTTGTCTAGCGTTGGAAAAATTTGAAAAAAAGTAAATGATAAGTAGGTGATTGCTGAAAGATTGCTCATCTCGAAAAAAAGAGAAACTTAGCCTCCTGTCACGCCTGGCAATATTCGGAAGCGGAAGTGTGATTGAAATTGGAGTTTTGATGCTTGGGTGGATCGGGCTTGAATGTGTGGAGTCAGAGTTTCGAGTTTGGCTTCTCAACCTTCTCATGGAAGAATTCAATCTTTCTGATCCAGTATTACGCCGAGTTATACTTGTTCAATCATCTCATCGGAGAATTCAACCTTCTGTATTGCGCTTTTTTGGGTGCGTCGGCTCCAATGGAGGCTCTGCCCAATTTGGGAGCGTGAGGTGGAAGTCGTGGGGTCCATCATGACATCTCGTATGCTGAACCATGTTGTAATTCGTTCGTCAGAGCTGTAACAAACCCAAGGGATTTATGTGGCTGTCCCGCGTTACTTAGCCGAGCACGCAGTCGTGACCGCCAAAACACCTAGACGTAGTAAAACTAACTCCTCCAAAAACATTGAAAAATCATCAGCTCTTTTCCAAGAACCTTGAAAAGGTCGTCAGCTGGAGGTCCCAGCAAGAAAAATATTTTCTTTTCCATACACTTTCTTGTAATTTGCGAATTACAAGAGAAGGAATTCTTCGGAGGTATTCGAATAGTTGGCAATATGAAGGCTGAGATATTCCGAAAAGTCCCAAAAAAATTGCCAGTAGGATTGAAACAATTTTGGGGACAGCAATTTCAACTCGAAAAAGAAAGATGAAGGCGCGCAGGGCAAGAAGGAGGGAAAATAAGGTATGGCATAGTGGCTGAGCGTGGCTTTTCTTAATGCATGACCTGCCTCAACCACCTTTGAGTTCGGCTTTTTTGCTCTTTTCCTTCATCGGAAAGCGGAAGGAGAGTCTCCGCAGGTCAAATCGCTTGAGGGCGTTGGTTGCGGGTTTCTGATCATTAAGATCTTTACTCGAAGCCTCAAGGAAAAGTAGCCACATCTGAAATTGGGTTCTTCAAATCCTTTTTGGGAACCGGAGCACGGAAGGGTAGCCCTCTCCCTGTCAGCACCCATGAGGCTGACGGCATTGAGTTTGTAATTGTTCGAATATTGACGAAAAGTTTCAGTAGGAAGGTAGCCACTTTCGAATCTCTAATTCTTTGATCATTTTTTCGAAAAACGGAAAGCGATAGAGGAGCTTCTCGTCCGTCAAATAGGGTGAACAATCGGTCGAGGATTCCTCAACGGCTCGTCGAGGATTTTTGCCTGATCAGTCACGCTCTCCGCGCGGACATTCACTCTCGCCATGCGCGAGCCGTCTGTGCTCTCCGCGCGTACATTCACTCTCACACTACTCACACAGTACAGAGCCATGGTCGAGGATTTTCTCGACCGTTATTCACCCTGGTGTCAACCCGTGAAAGGGTAATGACCTAGAATTTGTAATGGTTCAAATTTTGTCGAGAAGCCTCAGAGGAAAAAATGGCCACGTGTGAATTTACAAGTTCGATCTGGATAAGTCATGTATAGATCACGATAATTTTTTATCAGATCGATGTTGCTATAAAAGACCACCCGAAGCGGTGGTGTTCTTCATTCGTTGTTAGCTCGATTCTTCGATGATTGCTTGGTCGTCGGCCGTCGCCCTACCGGCTTTTCAACACTGTTGGTATCATGTGCCGCCGTGGCCGTTGGCCTGTCCACATTTTGTCGGCGTCACTCATCTTCCGGCTATACTCGTCCCCACCAATGCAGCCGCTGCAACCGCCACTGCGATCGCTCCTCCACCTCCGGCTCGTTTCTATCGGAACGGAAGCAGCTATTATCCGATCAACACTTCGCTACGTTTGTCCCGAGCACCTACCAAGAAACGAAACAAGTATAAACGGTATCATTTCACGCCTCGTCGTGAACACCAACAGGTGCTTGATGTGAAAGAATTGCAGTGGATTTGCCTGAAATTAAGGTTGTCATTATCACCATGTTCAGGTGTCGGTGGTTGCTGAGACAGTCAACGTCACTGGACAAACAAGTGCTCAACAATTTAAGGTATGGTTTTGAAGTTGAATACCGTTGGAAGGAGTGAAATTAAATCTTTTTGCTTTAGGTTCCTCCCTGTCGGTTGTCTGAAGATCTTTCGGCTCTTTTCGAGAGCAAACAGTTCAGTGATTGTACGTTGGTGGCGACCTGTAAATCGAATGGGCCCCAAACGTTCCATGTAAGTTTTGCGT